TTCCTCCAGGTCTTCCTGTCCTCTACCATCTTCTGGAGTCCATTTAAATTCACACCTACTGCTTCAGTGACTCCATCCAGCCATCTCATTCTCTGTCGTCCCCTTCTTCTATTGCCCTCAATCTTTCCCAGCATTAGGCTCTTCTCCAGTGAATCCTTCCTTCTCATTAGGTGGCCAAAGTACTTGAGTTTCAACTTCAGGATCTGGCCTTCTAAAGAGCAGTCGGGGTTGATCTCTTCTAGGACTGACCGGTTTGAACGCCTTGCAGTCCAGGGGACTCGCAGGAGTGTTCTCCAGCACCATAGTTCAAAGGCCTCAATTCTTTTGCGCTCAGCCTTTCTTATGGTCCAACTTTCACAGCCATACATTGCAACTGGGATTCTATCAGTAGCACTCAGCAGATCTCATTGACCCAGCTGCTTTCCCCCTTGCAACTTCCACTCATACATTCACACCTATCCAACTCTCACCTGCTCTCACCAGGCCACAAGGAAACCACATCTCCCAAAACAGAGGCAGATCAGAGACAGTTGCTCCTCCCTTACCAGATTCTCACTGAGTGCACCAAATAAGTCCACTCTCTTCATTCAGTCTTATGCCATCCAGCCAAGAGCCATCCAGTTCAGAGACTTCTGGGAGAGATGGAAAATCCCTCTAGCCAAGCAGCCATCCAAGGACAAGAGAAAGCACTGTTGGTCTCCCAAGTTTTCCTATCAGATGGTATAGGCAAGATAAGCACCACACTTATTTTACCCTTTATTAAAACTCTTTTTGTCTCCATCACTTAGCAGAAATTCCTAAAGCTGTTGGGATACTAGAATTGTTGATATGTAAGATTGGAATGACATCGCTACACCATAAAGCTATTCATTATTTAAATTAAAAATTCTTAAACATCAAATCATTTTATTATTAAGTGGCCACCCGAAGCTCATAATGAGACTACCATGTAAAAATTCTCTTTTCAGAAGAAAACAATCGGCAATACATTGAAATCAATGTGTTGCATCGAAGTATTTAGGCTTGTTGGGCTCATGCAAGGTTAAATGAGTTTAATATTGCAACATTTTGTCTACTAAAATACTAAGTACTGTTTTCAGTAAACAGTAGATAGGCTACATCTTGGAAAGTAGGATGTAAGTAGGATACCTTAAATATCCTTTGGTTTCTGATTAAATGTTCTCTTAAACATCCTTCACTCCCTTTTCTTTGCTATTTTTCTATTATCTATACTTGTGTTCTAGATGTTTATTTTCTCCACTGTTTATCATAATTAATTGCTTAAAATCATTGCTACTAACTCAGCAATTGCATTGTCTCCCAGTTTTGTTAGGAAAAGAGGAGAGGAGGGGAAAAAAATCTAACAAAGCATTCTGTGGTCAATTGTGTTATCAAGGCACTTGGCACTACCAGCTGATTCTGGCTTACTATTAATCTCTCGGGCAAATAAAACACTCCTTTGTAGTTAAATACCTAACCAGCTACTACTACATTTTTTACCTTACCAAAAACACTTTTACAAAAACTACATATAAAGCCTCAAACAGAATCACACTGTGCTAACTAGTTGGTTTCAATACTGAATGCTATTTAAATGCAAATTAGCCCAGTTAAGCAATATTAAGCAGGACTAGAAAACTTTACTGAAGAAAAATGAAGTTTTCTAGAACTGCTTAATCTTGATTACATCTTAAACACAAACTGAAATTAAATCTGGTGACATACATAGAATTTTTCTATTTTGACAAAGAAAAAGAATCAGTATAATTAATAAACTTTATGCATCTAAGTTCCCGGATGTGCTTAAAATTATGTATGGGACAGTATGAGAAGTAACAAAAAATGAACCTTAAAAATAACTTTTTTAATATTGGGAATTTCAGACTTGAAAATGAAATATAAAGAAATTAAAAGCACACAATAAGTTGCCTGAATTTTTTCATTGCAGAGAGAGAATGTTCAAAGTGATTATTTTTTGTTTGCTTAGTTATAATTTCTGAATTTACATAAAATACAAGCATGATTAAATCACGATATATTTGCAGTGTAGTGAAAAATATTTGGAAAAGGCTAGATTTTACCCAAATCTTCAGTTGGCATCTATTAGTTGATCTATCTATTTGGCAGCAACTGGACTGGGAATAGTTTGCATAATAAACAGCATCATCCACATCAGCAGGGGAGGGGGGAGGAGAGAGGAAGAGAAATGTTTAATGTAGATATTGCCCATCTAGGTCACACATTTTTCTACTCTTGTAGAATTCTTCCAATTGAAGTGTGCATTCTATAGAGTTGACTATGAGACGTTCCCTGAGGATGGGATGAATTCGAAAGCTTGGAAGATTAAACCTCTGGTCTTGGTGATCGACCTGGATTGGATCTTGCAACATTATCCTGGAACACGTATATTTGCCTTCATTCAGTAGACCTAATTCTTCACACACACCTTCACCATACAGCAAAATTGGATCAAGTACCTAAGTTTGTAATGCATACACTGATACTATATCTAGAGCATATTTGATTATTCCATAATGCAATTAAAACATTTATTTCTATTATATGAACTTACATTATCATACATCTTGATAATTAAAGTAATATGCAACTATAAATAAATCGGTGAACAAGTGAAACTCTTAATAATTGTAGAAAAGTTAGCATAACCACACACAAAGTAAACTACAGATTTTAGAGCAGTCCTTTAAAATGAATATGCTTGTAGGAATCATAGGTCATTTGTTCAACAATGATGAAAAAAATTAACAATTTTTTTTATTAAATAGCACAAGATGATTATTCTGATATGCTGGGTATTCCAATTAGTTTTCATCAAAAATGCATCTTTACTGGCAAATTGAGTCTCAGTCTCAATCCACTTAGATGAGTGGATTTTTTAAAAAGCAATTTCTCTGGCTTTTGAACACTGGTGAAATATACCCATACAACTAAAAACTTTCCCCTGGCTAGTTTTTGTAATCCGCATATAAGAAAAATTCATGGTCATTCTTATAATTTGGCTTCATCATCAGGGAACAAAAGTGCAATCATGACCTACATGTTTTGGTTTGAAACAAACTGTTGTTTTATCAGTTAGGAACTTTATTTTGGTAATAATATATGCTGCAAAATGCTTTTAACAGGTCAGAAACTGTCTTCTTATTATAAATTGTCAGGCTATAAAAATAATGGACATAAAATATGGACCTCAATACCTGAGAAGATTCTGGAAAAGATAATCAAGCAACAAATCAGCAAACACCTAGAGGCAAACAAAATCATTACCAAAAGCCAATATGGGTTTGTCAAAAACAGATCATGCCAGACAAATCTTATTGCATTCTTTGATTAGGTTACAAAATTAGTGGAGCAGAGGAATGCTGTGGATATAATTTACTTGGACTTCAGTAAGGCATTTGATAAAGTAGATCACAACCTACTACTTGTTAAGATAGAAAAATGTGGGTTAGACAGTATCACCACCAGATGGCTTTGTAGCTGGCTGACCGGCCGTACTCAGAGTATGGTCCTCAATGGAACCACATCTACACGGAGGGAAGTGTGTAATGGGGTGCCCCAGGGCTCTTGGTTCTTGACAGACTTGAACATTGGGCGCTATCTAACAAAATGAAATTCAATGGTGAAAAAAGTAAGATTCTACATTTAGGCAAGAAAAACTAAATGAACAGGTATAGTATAAGTGGTACCTTGCTCAATAGTAATTAGTGTGAGAGGGATCTCTGAGTCCTAGTGGACAATCACTTAAATATGAGCCAGCAGTGTGCTGCAGCTGCCAAAAAAGCCAACACAGTGCTAGGCTGCATTAACAAGAGGGATAGAATCAAGATCACGTGAAGTGTTAATACCACTTTACAATGCCTTGGTAAGGCCACACTTCGAATACTGCATCCAGTTTTGGTCACCCTGATGTAAAAAAAGATGTTGAGACTCTAGAAAAAGTACAGAGAAGAGCAACAAAGATGATCAGGGGACTGGAGGCTAAAACATATAAGGAATGGTTGCTAGAATTGGGTATATCTAGTCTAATGAAGAGAAGGACAAGGGGTAACATGATAGCAGTCTTCCAATATCTCAGGGGCTGCCACAAAAAAGATGGAGTCAAGCTATTCTCCAAAGCACCTGAAGGCAGGACAAGAAGCAATGGCTGGAAACTAATCAAAGAGAGAAGCAACCTTGAACTAAGGAGAAAGTTTATAAGAAGAGACTGGACAACCATTTGTCTGAAATGATATAAGGTTTCCTGGACTAGAAGATCTCCAAGGTCCCTTCCAACTCTATTATTATTATTATTATTATTATTATTATTATTATTATTATTATTATTATTATTATTATTATTATTTTGGATCATCGCACAGTCAGCCAGATGTTCAGACTGGATTTGGCATTTTGTCTACCTATCGAATCCTTACCCAGGACCTGGGATAGGCAGATGTGGATGTTTGATGGTATTACAGATATCGTCGCAGGATGGAAGCAGTTCCTAGTAAGGCCGCCTTTTGCAATTGACTAATAGCGAATTTGTCAATGCCAATGGTGTTCAAGTGGTGCTCCAATTGTTTTGGGATTGCACCCAAGGAGCCTATTACTATTGGTACTACCCTTGTTTGCTTTTGCCACAGTCTTTCTATTTCTATTTGTAGGTCTTTGTATTTTGTTATCTTCTCCAGTTCTTTCTCGTCTATTCTGCTGTCTCCAGGCACTGCCATGTCCACTATCCAGACTTTTTTGTCTTTCTTATCGACAATTGTTAAGTCTGGGGTGTTATGTTGCAGGTGCTTGTCTGTTTGATTATTATTATTATTATTATTATTATACTTTCTTGTATTGAAATAATAACTATTAATCAATTCATTTAATTCGTATCCTAGTTTTTTGGTTTTGGTGAGCATTCAAAGTAAATAAAATTCAAAACAAATTTTTAACAAGTTAAAAGTATGGATTTGAATTAGTAAGAAAATACTATCCAATAACTGAAAGCCTGCAATAAAACTTTATTAAAACATAAAAGAGCTTAGGATATAGAAGAGCATATTTAGTTGTATAAAAAACTTCAAGAATATCTGATCAAACTGTACGTTTCAATATATTTCTGAAACAGAAGCTAACAACGAGCATATGTATAACATTGACATATATGAAATTTGCATACAACTCCATATGATGGTTTGAAAGGTCATTTATGACCAAAGCATTGTATATCTTTGGTTGGTAGTTAAACTTAAAAAATACAAAAAGTTACAAAAATTAATTTTGTAGTGCTTTTTTTCTTGATGAAATCAAGATAGAAAATTTGTCTCATTGCTACAAGTCTGGATAGTTTACATAATAATTTTTATTTATTATTGTATTTATTTATACCTCACCTTTGTTACTTTGATAAATAACTCAAGGTAGCTAATATAACTAATATTGCTTCCTCCTCCTATTTTCCCCATTAACAACCCTGAGAGGTTATTAGGTTCAGAGAGTGACTTGCCCAAAGTCACCCAGTTGACTTTCATGTCTAAGGCAGAATTAGAACTCATAATCTCTTAATTTCTAGGCAGGTGTCTTAATCACCTGACTAAATTGGTTCTTTATTATATTTAAAAGGATATCTGGAAAAGGGATCTAGAAATTACTGTCTAAGTAGTGGAATCGTTGTGGAAACAGTAGTAAGCATTATTTTGAAAATACTGTCAACAATCTGGAAAAACAGATCTTTCAAGGAGAAAGATTATCATAGTTAATTTAATTGTAAATTAAATTTTTAGAATTATTTGACAAAGTGTTAACTATCATGGGGATCTGGTTCATATACTAAACAGCTGTAGACGTGAGCAAGTAGTACATGTAAAAACAACCAACTTTATTTGGCATACATTTTGGTAAGCAGCAGCTATCCCTAATACAGTTGAATAATCTTGAAAAAACTAACAAACTATGTCTATTTTGTTCCACAGACTAGCAAAGATTTTGTACACCCCCATCTTCAGTATGATAGATTAATATTCAATGTTTTCCAAATATTTTTTAATCAATGTGTAGAGCCATCTTGTAGAATAATAACTTATTAAAGAACTAGAAAGGCAGAAAAAATTGCAGGGACATTACACAAATAGTTTAGAAAGCCATTTAAAACTAATTATTTGAAGTGGTTTAAAGCATTATCTGAAACTGGGTATGATCCATAAGTTCATTGGTGATACCAATTTTTTTATACTGGGGAAAAAAGGAATTATAAAGAGCAGGGGTGTCAAACTGCCGGCCCACGGGCCGGCTGTATCATACAGAGGCCACGCCCACCCAGGTCCAGCAATGTGAAAAAAGTCGTAATATGTCACGACACGTCAAGTGATGTGGCGAGTTTGACACCCATGATATAGAGCTCCAAAACAATCTTTATAAACTGGAGAAGAATAGAAATTAACATTTCCAATGTTAAAATCCACTTTTAAACTGATATAATTTGAAAAAAGCCATTTGGTGGACAGCCAAAAAACCAACTTACACTCTGCACATGACAGCTCTGAAAAAGGTAAGGAAATTTAGATTATAAGAAACCTTTAGTTAGTGATAGTGATGATGGGGAAATGAATGAGTGCTGCTATGGCAAAGTTGTAGGACTACAGTGTCATCAAAGTGAAAATCCTAGGATTTTGAGCGACTCCTCTCCATTCCATGTACACATACCTCTTTTGGCATGATGATGCACTATCATGGTGTGCTTTAGATGTTTCAATCATGCTTTCACACAGTTCTCAAGTTTATTTTTATTCAAAACACTTCATTTTTTTATTTCAAAAGCTTCTGCAATATTTATTCAAAAACTAATTATTTTTATTCAAAAATTATTAATAAAATTCATTTTACATATCTGAATTGAAAGAACACATTTCTTTGAAAAAAACCCTACTTATTTTCTAGAAATCAAGTTGCGTACTATATGTTCATTAATCACTTTCTCACAGTGAATGCAATCCACTCCGCTGCTGATACTCTTCATAAAATTTCTGTAGGGAATCTGGAATTCTAGGAGTCACAACAACCAAAGCTTGTTGAAAATGCTCCTTCATGATATATTTGGCCTCAATATCTTCTTGAAGTGCAAGAAGAGCAGCTTCTCTACAAACTGCGGTTATCTGAAAAAGAAAAACACAGATTCCTTTTTTAAAAAGAATTTTGTTGGAATAATTTGCTGAGAACTAAATGCAGGAAAGTCACAAATGCAACAGAAGGTCATCTTTTGGCCTATTTTTGCTCAACATTTTGTTAAGAGAGTTCAGCTGCAATAATATTCAACAAATGGTTAGAACAGCAATGCACTCTGCTATCAAAGTTCCATATTCCACAACTTTTATGTATCTAAAATAAACATATTTAGTTAAAAAGCTGAGCAGCACACAGTCCTAAATGTTCAAGAAATAAGTGAAAAATGAAACTAACTCAGGCTGTAATAGTGACGTTCTTGTTTAAAATCTACCTGTGTAACACTCTCACACACACTCCAAAGCAATATGAGAGAATTGGTTGGTTAAGAAATAGGAAATATAAATAACTAACTAAACAAATAATTAAAATTCAAAGAAGAAAAAAGGCTAGAATCTTCAAGCTGACTTTAAAAGTTCAGGAAGCAGCCTCATGAAAGCTTCCTTCCAAAGGTACATTACTGCTGTGAAAAGCATCAGTGGAATGAGTGACCATTATTTCAGTGTAGGAGAGAAAACAGTGATTGATACTGACTGCACCCTTATGGGCGTAAAAGAAAACGCCAGCTGAAATGCATTTGTGTCAGCCATTCAATGTTTGTTCCTTGTTTGTTCACTTGTTACACTGCTTACGCCGGACTAATGGCTGCCAAAATCGTTTAGGAGCTTTCTAGAGGATTTAGTATGTGTTTAGGAAAGGCTTCTGAGAAAGGAGAAATTTGGACGTCTTTGTCACATTACTATAATATTTCTGTTAGTTCTGATCAGCATTTTAATTCTTTACAGCCCACTGCAGATCATGAGAATGGAGGCAGGAGAAGGCAGGAGAAAAATTGCGCACAGCCTAATTCAAACTTTAAATTAAAACAAATCTTATTTGTTTTAATTTAATTTATTTTAATTTAAAGTTTGAATTAGGCTGCTATTGTTGTTTTTATGCTATGTACCTGAGAGAGATAGTTCTGGTGCAGAATGTGCCAACTGATAAGTCAGCTATTGGGAAAATGTACCATACCTTAATGCTGTTGCAAACTAGTGAATAAATGGATCATTACAGACGCCATCTGAAATCAGATTTGTGAACCTCTTCTAAAAATGCTATGGTAACTCCTCACTAGTTTGCAACAGCATTAAGGTATGGTAGAAAGAGGTTAAATGCAAATTTCAAAACAACATTCTAAGCCAGAGTCACAAAATAATAGGGCAGGAAGGAAGAATTAATATTTATCTATTTCAATTTAAATTTAGTTAGTCATATCCTGCATGTAGTCACACATAATTAAAAAGTAAAATACTTTTCCTATTTGTTCAAATTCCCATACCATATAAATCCAGGCCAATTGATAATACCTGTATCACATGTGATTGCCATGCACTTTGCCCTGAAAATGAACACAATTGTTTATAAATTGGGTGGATTTTTATAGTGAATTTCTAATGTTTTATGCTCATTGGAGTTGGGCAGCTAATAAATTCAAAGGCATTAGTAAATATCTAATCACTGTGTATCATACATGGATTACCATCTAACCTATGGGAGTGGTTTGAGGTCATTTGATTGAACTATGTAATATCATATATAAATATTGTGCTCAGTAACAGGGAACTTGAAAACACATGACATAATCTGTTATTTCTGAAAGGTAAGTATGCCCCTTATTATGGAGCTCTATCTTTTTGGTGCAATGTTGAACTCTGCTGATAGACTTATAAAGAAAAACCTAAGGTATTTTTTCAAATAATACTTTGTGGAAAACAAAACAATATTTTTTTTACAAATTTATTTTAAGTTACAAAAGTGAAAATTAAAGAAACAGCAATCTTATTTTGGATTCTGACACATAATTTGTGATTCTTCCTTCAGCCATAGGTATTCTATTCAGAAACAAAATATTTGAAAGGGATTTTTTTGCCAAAACCCAATTATCATGACTATATAACAAAGGTGTCAGAACACCAATGGGGAATTGTCTATTTATTTTACTTAGTCCCAGGAGACTTTCTACCAATTTTGATTTCTGATTGATTTTAATATACGGATTCTAAAATTAGTATTTAGAGACAGGATTCAAGCAGCTGTAATTTCCCAGCTCATATATAGCCGATTTCATTCCATAAATCATAGGCTTACAGACAAAGGGCTAATTCGAAAATCAGATAAAATGAATGGCCAATTCAAATGGCCTGAGTGAGGTCCTTTCAGCAGTTACTTTCTTCTTTGTATTTGAAGTACTAGGGGAAAAAAACTTTAAAGAATCTTGAGAAAGAAAAGGAAAGCAATGAGCTTCTGTGTTAAAATCTTAGGTATTTTTGTTTTAAGTAGCTTTTTTAATGCATCGTCTGCCAAGAACACCTGTTAGCCATTGAATTTTGTCTGGCTGCAGCTGGGGCTGAATGAGTGTGCAGGAACTGGCAGCCTGCTAGGCTGGTTTTACATTGTGCCTCCTTTTCCATGCCTTTCTTTCAAATTTATCCCCTCCTCCCTGTAGATGGTTACAACAGAGTATGTGAGAAAAAGATTAGGGACCTGGAGCAGATTGGTATCCTGTGGTGGATAGTGAATAGTGCAAACTGTGGAGCTTTCCTGGAAGACAACTACCTGCAAGCGTAGGATATGCACCCTCCTAGGCACTTCTAAAAGCAGGATTAGGGAGTGGGAACTCCAAGTTTCCCACTCAGCATGCAGGACTTTGAAAAGTTTCCAAAATGGAGCCCTTTTAAAAAGAAAAAAGGAAACCCCAAGAGTCAAATCTTTTAAAAAGCATTTACTCCTTTTCCCCAACCTTCTGATGCGCAACTCCTATTAAAGCAGCCCTATGTGCCAGCTTAAATCATAAATAAGGCCAACTCACAAAGACCAAAAGGCAATCTTATATAAAAATATTAAGTAACTGTATTTCATGTGTCATTCACTACCTATGAAAAACTTTGAATAACTATAGAAAAAAATCAACTCTGATTTCTATTTTGTTACATTTTTCTATTTTGAAATACTCTGCATATATAAATCTTGAATATATTCTACTAATCTTAGTCTCACTCACAAATTAGCTTTTCCTCCTCTCAGGAATGAGCATATAAATAAAAACTATAGTAAGTTAACACTTTCAAAGCAGTAGCAAAAGCATAACTGAGAATCAATAGCCAATTCTTTTTTTAGGAGTAATACACTTTTCTCCAAAAAGAAATTAATATGTAGAAAGAAAAAAAGAGGGAGAAAAGGAGAGAGAGAAGAAAAAGTTTATTTCATCCTTGAGTGGTTTTTTTTTTATCAGCATCCAAGAATTGATTTAGGAATGTCCTATTAAGAAAAAGAGTTCATTTATCAAAACATGCCTTGTTCTAAAATTATGTGTAAAATATCTGGGAAGAAAAAGTTTATACATAGTATCATTTATAAATCATGTCTTATACATACTTATCATTATTCATGCTAAAAATAAACAACATTTACTAAAACAATATATCTTTCTATCTGCAGTGGACGCTGTAATTTACATTGAAAACTGCCCAGAACCATTTGGAAGTGAATGAATTATATATTAGTAATTTTTTAAAAGTTATTATATGAGGGAGAATGTGATTCCTTTTCCCCCATTGTGGACTATCCTGTTTACTTTTACAGAAGTTAGTTGGTTAGTACCTAGCCTCTGCAAGAAGGTAAGCCTTACAGGAATGGGAGCCTAATAGGACTGGAAGACCATTCTCCTCTACAGAGTAAAAATAAGGAACTGCTTGCTGTGATCATTTAGGCATACAAAGCAAACAATAGGATTTCACAGTTGCAAGTAATGTCTTTTCTTATCATGAGCAGCATAAAGTTGCTGGGAAAAAAACCTTTCATATTCCTTGACTGAAAATACAAATCAGAACATTAAATTCTCCCTCTCCATTAATCCATATTTCAAATTCAAGGCTTCTATCTACCCAAGGAACTCTGGGCAATGAACAAAAATAAAACAATTTATGCAAATCCAATTTCAAAATTTGGGGTGGAGCCCCCTAAAAATTAAATTAGCTCCATTAGCATCCAAACCTATAGCTACCTCCCAAAAGGCTAATATTTGTTCATTTATTTATTAAATTTGTTTGCCGCCCATCTCACAACAAAGGTTGAGTCCAGGAGGAGGCTGATCCATAGGTTATAGATATGGCATACCTCTGGGTCCCATAAAATGACACTGCTTTGTTGGTTGACCAAGAACATGTGCACCCTGCCAAATCTAGTAGATAGGCAGAACTATCTGGTAAATGCAGTCCCACAAGTAAGTTGGTCTCATGACATCTTGAACTGCCCACTACAAGCCAACTCACATAGCACTGGTGTGACATGGGTGTTTTGTTGTGATTCCAATATTATGTGTGTGTGTGTCACTGCTGTTTTGCAAGAGTGGGTGATGCTTCCTACTTTGAACAAAATGGTGGTACACTCCCTTTCAAAAGACTACCCTTGAATCCAACAGTAATAGGCAACTTTTGTCCAATCTCTAAGCTTTCTTTTTTATGGAGATTGTTGAGAGAAAGATAAGTACTCAGCTCCAGCAGGCCCTGGATGAAATAGATTAATTATGTGTTTTGAGCTGCAAAAAAATTTACAGCCATTCAACTAGCTACATCTCTTGATCACCATCTAGTGGTCATATGGATTTCTGTAATCTAATTAATTATTATATATTGAAAACAGAATGAAATCTGTGCTGTACCAACTTACTTGGAACTAATGCCTACATTTAACCATTGCAGTCCCAAAAGATTTAGAGAACACCAAGGTAGAATAGACTAATTTAAGGCCAATAATTTGTGCATCATTCTGAATGAATTGGTGCAGTTCTTGATTAAGTTCATAAGTCCTGGGAAAAAAATGTTACTTTTTATTTAATTTTATAGCAACTAGAACGCTGCTATAATCTACATTCCTGCAAGGATCAGTAAGA